CAAGTTATTGTATAATATTTTAAATACAATACTTAGGATATTCTATTTTTCAAGGGCTGATTGCTAACAAAGTACAGTTGTTTTTTTCTTTACCTTAAAAAATTTTTATTGAAGTATAATTGATTTACAGTTTTAGTTTCGAATGTGCAGCAAAGCAGTTCAGTTATACATATACAAACATATACATTTTTTGATCTCTGATGCAGTCCTCCTTTGCTTTAGGCTTGCAGATTGGTTTATTCAGCTTTAATTTGTCTGGAATTTCTAAGTAGCACTTTAACTGCATCCCACAAATAGTAATATGCTTTGTTTCTCTTTGTTTTCAATCAAAATTATGTTCTATTTTTCCTTGTGATTTCAATAATTATTTATAAGAATATGTTTAACTTCCAGGTATTTAGTGTTTTCCTAGCTATTTTGCTGTTATTTATTTCTAAGTTAATTCAGTTGTACTTAGAAAATACCCTTTGTATGATTTTGATTTTTATATTTATTGAGGTTTAAATCCCAGAATATGATCTATTTGGTGAATACATAAATTGTACTTGAAAAAAATATGTATTTTGCAGTCATAGAATGCTGTGCTCTATAAATACCCATTAGATCAAGGTGAGTGACAGTGTTGTTTAAATCTTCTTTATCTTTACTGAATTTGTTTTGTTCTATTGGAGTGAGGGTTGTTAAAATCTTCTACCATGATTGCAAATTTTTTCTCTCTTGTTAATCCTGTTGATTTTTTGCATCACGTATTTTGAGGCTCAGTGACACAATACACATTTTGTAGTTTATATCTTCTCTTAGTTTCCTATTGTTGCTGTAACCAATGATCACAAACGTAATTGCTATAAAAAACACAACTATATTTATTATTTTACATTTCTTGAGGTCACAGGTTGGAAGTGATGCTCACTGGGATAAAATCAGAGTGTCCCTTGGGTTGTGCTCCTTTGTGAAGGCTCTGTGCGAGATTCCCTTTTCTTGTCTTTTTCGGTTTCTAGAATATGCCCACCTTCCTGGCTGGCAGCCTGCTTACATCTTCAAAGCTAGCAATGGCAGATTGAGTCTGTCACATCACATCACTTTGACTCTTTCCTTCCTCACATCTTCTCTTTCTCTGACTTCCCTGCCATTGGACCCACATTGGATAATCCAGCATAATCTTAACTCAAAGCCCTTAGCTTAATCCCTGCTGCAAAGTTCCTTTTGCCTTGTGAAGTAACATGCTTACAGGATCTGGAGATTATGACGTGAATATGTTTAGGGGATCATTGTCCTCTCTCCCATGTATGTTTTCGTCATGAATTATTGATTTTCTCCACCAATTTCTGACTCAGTATATTTTACCTAATATTCAAATAGCTGTTCAAGTGCTCAGATGCTTATGGTTTGTATACCCTTTCCACTCATTTACTTTTCACCCAGTTATATTTTTATATGAAGTTAAAATGTGTCTTTTTAGACAGAGGATGATAAAATAGTGGTTTTTTTAATCCACTCTGTCAATCTCTACCTTGTAATTGGAGTGTTTCAACTAGGAGTTAGAAATAAATGGATCAAGTAATACATATTTTAGATTTTGCTAGGCCTTATGTGGTCTTTGTCACATAGAAACCATTTTAAAGACTTGTTGATTTTTTTTCCTCTTACAAACCATGAAAAAATTGCCAAGTCATTCTTAACTGTAAATAATACATATAACAGGTTCTTTGGCTATATTTTGCTCATGGGCCATAGTTTGCCAACCTTTAGGTTTAGATTATTATATTTAATGCAGTTATTGATATAATTTCATTTAGATCCACAATTTTATTTTTTTCTGCTTTTACCCCTTATATTCCCATATTATCCTCTTATTTTCCTGCCTTCTTTTGAGGTATTTGAAAACTTTAATATTTATTTTAATTTGTATATTGGTAGTATATCTTTGGATTGTGTTTTATTCTTGTTTTGTTTTGCTTATGTTCTTCAGGGGTCATAATATACAAACTCGACATTTCGCAGTCTATATTGAGTTAATAATCTGACACTTTACATTAAATGTAAAAACCTTGCAACCATACAGGTACCTTTATAAGTGCTCCGCACTGATCTGTTTTTGTTATTGATGTCATATGTATCACATCTACATTCATATTCATGGAAAATCTCACTAGAAATGATGATAATTTTTGTTTTAAAGAGTTATAAATATATTAAGGAACTGAAGAGAAAAAACTGTTATTTATTTATTTATCCTTTACCATTTCTTTTTGTCTTTCCTCCATCCTGCATCCAAAGATCTAGATTTCCCTCTGCTATTATTGACCTTCAGCCAGAAGATTCTTCCCCATTTCTTGTAGAGCATAGTTTTCGAGACAGAGTCTATTATTATAAATTTTTTCTCATCTGAAAATGTTCTCCCTCTCTGTCATTCCTGAAGATTTTTTTTCCCCTGGAAAGAAATCTAGGTTGATGTTCCTTCAAAGATGTGATTCACTGTCTTTTAGCCTCCTTGGTTTCTGATGATAAATCCATGATAATTTGAAATACACCCTTGCATGCCATGTGTCATTTTTCTAAAGCTGTTTCAAGTTATTTTCTTTATTTTTAAGTTATTCATAGTTTTAATTAGGATGTGTCTAAACGTGGCTGTCTTTTGAGTTTATCCGTTTTGGGGTGTACTGAATTTCTTGAATCTGTAGTTTTATACTTGTCAATATATTTGGGCAGTTTTTGACCCTATGTCTTCAAATATTTGTCCTGTCCTAATCTCTTTCACATCTCTAGAATTCCACTCACATGTATGTTAGAACTTTTGTCTCAATGATCTGTGAGACACTGTTCAGTTTTATAAATCTTATTTCTCATTGTTCTCATTGATATAGATAATTTCTGTTTTTTGCTCTTCAAGTTAACTGACTTTGCTGCAGTGTCTTTCTGCTACTGAGCCCATCCAGTGAGGTTTTTGTTTTAAGATATTAATTTTTTTAGTTCTAAACTTCTAATTTTGTTTTGTCTTACATTTTTCATTTCTCTGCTGTCATTTCTTATATATTCATTCATCTCATGTATGTTTTTTCTTTATCTCATGGAACATAGTTAAATTAGCTGCTCTAAAATATATATCTGATAGATTCAACATCAGAATGATATTCTGATATATATTCTGGATCATTTTGGAATATGCATATGTTAATTGTCTTTTCCCTTTAGAATTCGTAATATTCTCCTGGTTCATTGAATGCTGAGAAATGTTGCATTGTGTCTTGGCTACTGTAGAAATGCATGCAAAGCTCAGGTTTAGGTTGAGATTTCTGTGGTTTTATTCACAGAATTATGGCATCTCCTTCTCTGACTCCTGTATGGGGTTACTCCAACACTCTTCAATCTATGTTGGCTTCTTTCGAGAGTACCTTGGTATTTCTGGATGAGTTTCAGGTCCAGAATCATTTTGAAGCTCCTTATCTATCACCTGCCCTATAAACAAAGCAAGTAGGAAAAGGAAAAAAAAACAAAAACAAATGGGAAACTAGTTTTCATTCCCCTCCACAGTTTCTGATTTTGTTTTTAGAAGCCTTAGGTAGTTTGTTTTGTTGTTGTTTTATTTGTTTGTTTGTTTGATTTGTATTATTTCTAGTCCTTATAATTATTACCGGTAGGAAAGCTGGGCTATCACAGGCTTACACTGCCATTTCGGAAACAGAAATCTATATACATATAATGTTTTTTAAGGAAACTTTAAGACATAAAAATTTTTGATTTTCCTAAGAGCATGAATGTTTTAGTTTCAATTTCAGCAGTGTTTATCTCTTCCCTTCATTTTTCAAAGTTTATTTTTATTTTTTACAGTCATGTATCCTCAAAGATATCATTACCTGATCAAAAGATTGTTCAAACTGCAAAGTCCTAAAAATAAGTTGAACTTCTTTTTTTCCCCTTCAATGTAGCTATCTTCTTTGTAGTCAATATTATTTAATTTGGCATTTTTATCTATATCCAAACTTAGTCTTCCTGGAAAGTACAGTAAATTATACATATGTTAATCATTTCAAATTTTAAATTAAGATTTAGGATGGCTTTAGCTGAGGCTTAAAGTTAGATGTTCA